GCAGCCCCTTAATTTTAAGGAGTGATAATACTTTAATTTTAGGTAAAACATTTTCCCTGTAATAATAAGAATTGATTGTGACTTTGTAACATCTGTTTCAAATAGCATTCTCTTTTAACTAATAAAGGACCGTTTCAATAAAGACTTTAGTTTTTGTAAATTTTTAGAATAGGGTTTTTGAATACACGTGTATTGACTTATTTCTAATTTTTTAAGTGGCTTACTGACTTGTTTTTGTCATAAAGACAGAACAGTTTGGAGGTTAAGATGGATGGTTGCTGTGTTAATGCACTAAAAGTCCACAGACTGAGTGACTTAAACAGAAATTTCTCACAGTTCTCAAGGCCCTGAAAGTCTCGTTCTGACTTGCAGAAGCCACCTTCTCTTTTCTCTGTGTGCTTTTCCTTTTCCTGTTATAGGGGTACCAGTCCTATTGATGTCATTTTGGAGTTTGGGGTCCTTGGGTTCACTCTGGAAAGGTTTCACTAGCGCTCCCCTTTTAGTAGCACGCGGCGAGTTTCTCCATGAGACAGAGACTCAATTATACTTAAAGAGTAAGTTTATTAGAAAAGGGACAGGAAAGGGAAGGACACTTGTATAGGCATAAGTGGGCAAGAAGAGCTGCCCCAGAATAGACAAGTTTGCAGAGAGGCCTGCATGGTTGCAGGCAGGTGGCCTTAGGAGAGCAACCTCTGCTGAGGGAGGTCAGTGCAGAGAGGTCCTTGTATGGCTGGTGGGATGCTGCTGTCCTGCAGACTGGAGAGAGTGGGTGGAAAGATGCACCTGCATAGTTACAGGTGGGCTGGAGGTTGCCCAGGGCCAGTACAGAGACTGCCCTGATACAGTCTTTTTCTCTTTAGGAGGGGCTCACTCCTTGTGAGCCTAGGTTTGCTGATTTTGAATAGAATCTGAAAAGAGGGGCCATATCTCCATATCTTTTGTCTTTTACTTTTTGGGTCTGAGCTCTAGATCTACCCCCAGCAGTCTGCTATCTGCTTGGACCTCCTGCCAACATCTCTGCATTGGAGCCTGAGCATTTTGATTTTATGGCATGTCAGGATCTTGATTTTTATGGCTGTGTTAACCCTTTCTACCCATCCCCTCTGTATGAATCAATCTTGTGATGTCTCCCCTGTATTCCTTCCTCCATCACTTTTTTGCTTCACAGATTTTGTCTTCAGATAAAGTTGTGTTGGGGGCTAAATCTTCAACATAAGACTTTTGGAGGGATACAATTTGGTTCATAGTAGTTGCTTTTTTTTTTTTTCAAGATGTATTTATTTGTGCATACAGAACTGGGGTACAGGCCAGAGGCTCAGGAGCGGCAAGAGGCTTCACCAGGGACAGAGTGGGGAGCAGAACAGGCAGAGCAACGAAGTACACTGCTGAGAGGAGCAGTGGGCAGGTCAGGAGAGGTCTGCCACGCCATGTGGTCACCTCCTGGGCAGGCGGCAGGAATCAAACTCGTGCGGAAGTGGCTTTAGTTTCTTAGTGCTGTGCTTTAACCTGCTGTGCCACCAGGGAGGGCCTTTTTTTTTTTTTTTTTAATATTTTATTTACTTTTGTATAGAAGAACTGGGATATAGGTCAGAGTTGTGGGGGATATGGGGATTTCACCAGTGATAGAATGGGTAGATTTACTGAAATACACTGTTTAGCAGAGCAGCAGGTGAAACAGGAGAGGTCTGCTGTGCCCTGTGGGTTAGCTCCCTGGCCAAGGTTCCAACCCAGGCCTTCTGGGTTGTTGCTTGTTTCAAACAAACAAACAAAAAAACCAGGGAAGCCCATAGTTGCTAATTTTTGAGTGATGAAGTAGCAGCCCTGGAGTTGCAGCATTTCCTTCTGCCACTTGGTGGTACTGTAGTATAACAAATGCAATGAGGATGGGCTATACTGAATAAAGTTAGAGTAAATTACACACACTATGCCCTTTTACTATGAACCTCTAATATATGTAACTTTTAGGAATAGGAAAATTCTCTTATGTAATAACTTTGTCAAGAATAGGGAATTTAATGTTGAGGGGTTGTGTTATCTAAAGGACAGTTTATATTCACCAGAGAGGATTCACCAGAGACAGAGGGGAGCAGAACAGGCAGATCTATGAAGTACACTGCTGAGGGGAGCGGAGGGCGGGTCAGGAGAGGTCTGCCTCACCATGTGGTCATCTCCGGGGAAGGCAGGGATTGAACTCATGCGGAAGCGGCTTTAGCTTCTTAGTGCTGTGCTTTAACCCGCTGTGCCACCAGGGAGGGCCTCACCCTCACTTTTTATAGGGAAACACAACAATGTTTAGTTTTACCTTTTCTTGAACTTCTACGAATAGGTTTGCAGTAGGTACTGTTAGTGTTTTGTGTCTGTCTTATTTATAATGCCCATGAGCTACATCTGTGTTACCACGTATTATTAGTAGTTTTATTTTTATTGCTGTCTGTAGTATTGCAGTGTACATTTATACCATAATTCTTTATCCATCCTCTGTGTGTTTCACTTTGTCCAGTATTTGGCTATTATAAATAAAACTGTTCTGAATGTTCTTGTACGTGTCCTTTGAGGTAAATAAGCCCTGTTTTCTCTTAGTGGATTTGTTGAGTCATATAGCAGGTACATACCTACTGCACATAGTATTATTGGTGGTTGTACCAGTTTATATTCCCATCACCTGTATATGAAGGTTCTTTCTAGTTGTCCTGATCTACATAAAGAATTATCAATATAAAAAAACTAGCTATCCTGATGGGAATTTAATTGATTTGTCATTATGTATGTAATTTGTTTTTTCCCTGAAATGTTTTGATGTTAAGCACATTGTCACATTCATATTAGCCATCAAGTACCCTGTTTTTTTTTTTTACAAGTCAGGTTACTTACCCTACTTGATACACAGGACTTCTTTATATAGTCTAAATTTGTTTGTATTGTGAATATCTTCTGGTTTATGTCTTTTTCTTTTGATGCCTAATGGAGTCTTTTTGGTGAAGAGAAACAATTCATTTATCATTGATGTGTAAACTTTTAGATAAGCCAATTTTAATTGTTATATATTTAATAGCTAATAAATATTGAGTTATAATCAACAACGTTTAAGTTTTTTATTAACGTAAAAATTGGCATACATTGTTATTGGTATCTTGGAACACACAGCCCCCTTTTTCTCTTCCCCACTCCAGGTATCTCTATTATAGTGTATCCAACATCAATTCACCCATAGTTCTACACAAGTATATAGTCCTGTGTCCTTTCCTCTTCGCTCTCACTCCTTCTCACTCCCTCACCTTTTGAATGCTTCAGCTTTTAGGGTTAATCAAGAATATTGTAGAACTGTCTTAAGGTACAGTGGACCTTGTTTCAAAGAAAAGGAAAGGCAGAGCTTCTGACCTTGGATTCATTTTCATTTATAAGATAGGCCCACATGACTGATTCTGTATGTATATGTTAAGAATTGAGGGAGTGGTAAGGCTTGTGAATACCTTAGATTTGATATATTTGAATGTCAGTGATAATTTCTACTGTAGACTTTTTGTGTGTACCTTAACTTCAGATATGATGAAACATAGAACAAGAGAGTTTTCTTTTTAATATGTATTTCTGTACCCAGCCAGAAATTTCCAGAACATATGAAGCATATGCCTTCCCTTTTCTCTGTCATATAACAATTTTCAAATGTGTATATTCACCTCATTTTTAAATGGAAACAAATGTGCTTAGTATAATTACGACAAAGTAAATATATATCATAAATCACATAAGTATGTTTTCAGTAAATAGGTGGCAGAAATTAGGTTCAGGTATACAAAATGAGTTTTGGCTATAATAATGTTTTAGGAGAGGAAGAGATATAGAACTAGGCCCTGGAATATTTGGGCTTCCTGCCTCGTGTTTTCATGCCTTGAATTGCCTTTTTTTTTTAACCTTTGAAATAGACAAAAAAATTTTATTATAATAGTTTATTTTTACATCATTTTGTGCGTTTTCCCATCTCAACTTTAAACCCATGGTGAAATAGGCAAATTTTAATGAACTGAAGGTTCAGCAATCACTGAAAACCACCATCAAAATTTGTTACTTCCAGGTCTTTGAAGAAACTGGTTTTGATATCAAAGATTATATTTGCAAGGACGATTATATAGAACTTCGAATCAATGATCAGCTTGCTCGTTTGTACATCATTCCAGGAATTCCAAAAGACACAAAGTTTAACCCGAAAACTAGAAGAGAAATTCGGGTATGTACCAAACTAGAAATTATGTTTAAGTTGTACAAGATAGTATTCTAGTTGAATGAAGTGTAAAACTGCTTTTAGACATTTATTGATAATAGCTTACTGGGTTGTTTTCTTCTTTGTTTTAGAACATTGAGTGGTTCTCTATTGAGAAGTTGCCTTGTCATAGAAATGATATGACCCCCAAATCTAAGCTTGGTTTGGCACCTAACAAATTTTTTATGGCTATTCCTTTTATCAGGTATGTTCACATATCTTGAACTATAGAGCTGACAAATAGTTAAACCTATTTTATGTGCCAAATTTTATAATTTTTTAATCTTCTGTAGACCATTAAGGGATTGGCTTTCCCGAAGATTTGGAGATTCCTCAGATAGTGACAATGGATTTTCCTCAGCTGGTAGCACACCAGCTAAACCAACTGTGGAAAAATTAAGGTAAAGAAACCATGTAATCATAAGACTCTTAACTTTCTGTTAGGTTTTTTTTTTTTAAAGATTTATTTACATCCCTCCCTGGTGGCGCAGTGGGTTAAAGCGCAGCACTGAGAATCTAAAGCTGCTTCGGCATGAGTTCTATTCCTGCCTGCCCTGGAGGTGACCACATGGCACGGCAGACCTCTCCTGACCCACCCGCTGCTCCCCTGAGCAGTGTACTTAGTCGATCTGCCTGTTCTGTTCCCCACCAGAGACATCTGGGGATGCCTCTCACTGCCCCTGAGCCTCTGGCCTGTACCCCAGTTCTGTATGCACAAATAAATAAATCTTTTTTTTTTTTTTAAAAAAGAATTTATAAGAACTGGGGTAGAGGACAGAGGTATGGGGGGGTGGATGAGAGGATTCACCAGAGATAGAGTGGGGAGCAGAACAGGCGAGACAGGAA